ATACTATTTTGGTCTTCATACCTTCGATAAATGAATTCTATTTCTGTATATGCAAGTTACTTGTATACTTTCTGTACTTAGGGAGGACTTTGTTCAATTTATTTCACCAAGAACCGCAAATCTAATGTAATCACCAAAATTAATAATCGTAATATGATCAGGTGTGAAATTCAAAAATTAAAGAGAAGCGTATGCCTTTGAGAAGATACAAGAAACAAAGTAAATTCACATAGTACTTTTATCTTTATCTTGTCATCATCATTAGCTTCCTCGTCTTATTGATTTTGGATCAAATATCAAGATGTGCTATTTTTTAAATAGAAGAAAGCTTTTTTCAGATATTACCTCTTAACGTAACCCTATTTTACATTTGTACGGTTTCTCATTAAGATTGCTGAAGTCTTCGGAATGCCATTCCCTACTTATCATATTTTTCCGTGACGCAACTCTCCAGTATTTTAGGCATACATTTTTAACAACACTAAAAATGTGAGAATAATGACACCGTAGGTCTCGATTTGCCACTTGACTATACTTCGGGTGCCATTTGGTCATTATGCAGAAGTGAATTTCAAAGCAAACTATACCTCCTAATTCTCATTTGTTGAAGTCAACAATTTTTTAGAAAGCATTTTTGGAAACAAGCTAAAGTTAATAGAAGATATGAATACCTGGATGACGTGGCCCTCGGTATGATCGCAGTCTCTTTTCGATTTATAGAAGTGGGTTGACCTCGTTTTCACAATTTGGTCTTGTCATGGCGACTTGGTTGAATTCATCTTGTTCGAAGTCCCCTACCATAGTAGTTACCATAATTCTCAGCATCAGACCGTGAACTTGGTACATTCTTAGTCGTTTCGCCGGCATTGTAGTCGTAAACTAAAGGCCTCAACTGTGCAGATCAATGGAATCGTAAGTGACATGCTGAAAGATATGCATAGGAACGGGGAAATCGATTCGTGGACATGAAATTCAATCATAAGAAAGGATGAACGGCCATCAACAGCCTTCAGATTACCGAAGATGCACAAAGAAGGCGAACCACTAAGGCTGATAGCCAACAACATGTATGGAGTAACACACAAATAGGCTAAGTTCATGTGTTTGGAACTCAAGAAATTAAATGACAGATTATCAAACATGGTGAAATATTCATATGCATTTTTTTAAGCATCAAAATTATGACACTGGAAGAAACGGACTTATTGGTAAGCTTAAATGCACAATCCATGTATACAAACCTCGCTAGAGGAAATGAGCTACTGGCCCTGCTGGAAACCCTTGATCGAGAAAAGGATATTCTGGAATCACAACGGATCAGGAGGGAGTCGTTAGCACGAATAATCAATTTGACAATAAGGACAGCCTATTTTACATTCAACGGGACCATCTATGAACAACTATTTGGACTTCCCATGGGATCGCCGCTCTCACCACTTTTGGCAAACGTATACATGAACAAAATAAAAGAGAGCTTCAAGATGGCACTGCTACAACCGGCAGTGCTCATGCGGTACCTGGATGATTACTTCGCACTTTGGTCATACATAAGAGAGAAACTGGAAGATTTTTCGAAGTTTCTAAATCAGATTGATGAAAAAATTAAATTCATGATGGAATTAGAGGAAGGTGAGCGGCTCTTATGGGACGCTCAAAAAGAAATTGTTCAGAAAGAAGTCTCAGTACTCAATTTCCAGTCCCATCACAACTACAGGCTAAAGACAGGAATAATGAGGAGCATGATCATCTAAAACCTACGTTTAACGGATTTGGAATTCTGAGATGAAGAATGGGGCGAATTGACTAGGTTATGTCTCGGTTTCGGCTACCCAAACAAAGTAACAAAGAAACATACAGGCCCAGAAAAGCCGATAGTAGAACGGTGACTACGAAAGCACAGTAAGGACGGAGAAGGATTTACAAAAGTGTATATGCCTACCTTCCTGCGAACAAACTCAAAAACTACGGGTGGTCATTAAGGAAAAACAACACTTCAGAAGTCTACCGATGCAACATTAAAGGGTGGAAAAATTGGATTGTTCAGGTGCTTACTGCATAGCATCGACGCCTGTGGACAGGAATATATTCTTGAAGCAGGGAGAAAAATTAGCACACGAATCAAGGAACATCAAAGGCTCTATTGCTTGGACTTTCATTTCTTATGAACGTGTATGAAGAAGAGATTCAAAGGTCGATTTCACCAGAAGAGAACGGATGAATCCCGTTGTATTGCAGCCGTTTTGCTTTTATACGACGTTCAGGTTGACGCAGTCCACGAGACCTCCATCGTTTCTGGTGAAAACGGGCTGAGCTTTCGTTCATCATTCGATGGACATCATCAGGGCTGTGTCTCATTTCTGTTAAAGTCTCACGTTAATATTAGGACAAGAAGACTATTAGGCTCTATCTGACCCCTTATATAGACTCAATTACGTAAAATAAATAAAAAAACCTAGATATATATAGAGCGGTTTGGCTAATTATCTTTCATACTGGTCCTGCTACTTTTGTTCGAATGTGTGCCTTAGTGTTAACGTAAGACTTTTATGGGAATGAGACCCAGCTCTGATGATGTCCATATTATGATGGACGAAAGCTCAGCCTGTTTTCAGCATAAACGAGGCAGATCTCGTGGATTGCGTGGTATAAAAGCAAAGCGACTCCAGTATAACGGGATTTGACCGTCCTCTTTTGGTGAGATCGACTTTAGAATCTCTTCATATATTTATGCGAAATGAGAGTCCAAGCAATAATGTTATCTTAGGGGATTCATCGAAACCCAGTTACTCTTCATATCAAAGGCTCTGCAGGAAAATGGAAAGCGAATGATCAAAATTAGTGGAGCTCATCGCACAAACTGGTCATGACGCAACAGAAAAAAGTGTCTCATACAGTGACAACACAAGGAAGCGGAAGATTGGGGAGACCATTGACATACTCGGGGGAAACAATCTAATAAACAGGAGATTGGAGGAAGACAGAGTTAGCAATAAATTTGCCTAAGGCTCAAGCAAATTCGGGGAAAACAAGAATACAGCAACGTCAGCAGAAAGGAGATGCCTGGATCAGGGATTTATCGTTAACCGGAAGAAAAGGGATCGCGATGAGGAAAGGGGGGACGAGGAGTTTCGGCCATCAAGCGAAGACGTTGTCAGTGCGTGATGTCAGTTTCGAATAAACCAGTACTTCATTCATCTCTTTGACGAGTTTGTAGCTTGGTGCGGAGAATGGCAAGACTCATTGTTGCTGCCTACTTATGATATATATCATGGCTGAGGACTTCGGACAAGGTGTGTTCAACTCAGTCGCCCTGACAACAAGACCAAATTGCGAAAACGAGATCAACCCACTTCTAAGCTTAAGTTAGATTTACAGGCATGATGCATTTTTATACCTACTTCTTTTTGGGAAACCTTACTAATGGGCTTTATGTCACCTAAAGTAACCGATGTAGGCATAGTTCTTAAAAGGCTTATTGATATTTCTTAATACTATTCATTTTGAATAATTATTTATACTTGACTGGCAGGCTGCATCCATAATATTATTTTTCCTCTAGATTTTCCCTATTTTTTCACAGCCTGATTTCATTATATACTGCATCCATGTTAACTAGTTTAGGGGTGATATTTGTTTAGTGGTTAGCCATGCATTTCCTAAATAAGACTCCATTTCCATGAGTTAGGGATGGATAGAAGGCTGTAGAAAAAGAGCAATCACTCTAACTTTGCTCGTTTTTCCTTCATGCCAGCAGATAAACTTAATATTATTAAATATCTCATCCATAGGATGACTATAATTCATATTTAAGCGTGATAAATTACTGATAGTAAAATTTTTCTTCAATATTATGAGTAGGCCTCGCCATTCCATTGAATTTCACTCAGCCTTGGTTCCCTAAAGGTACTCCCATTCAGGATGAACTGCACTTTCGACCTCGTCAGGGTCTCATTGGTATCATCAGCGCAAATCAAACCCGTGTAGTTTATCATATAATTTTGCTATTTTACTACTGCAATACTCTGCCACGATAATCAGTGAGTTGGCTCCATTAGTTTTGGAGGTGCTCATGAGAGTCATGCGAGGCTGTTCATCCTGGATTATAACTATTTTTTGAAGTGAATTTCTATGGAATCGTGGGGTATAGTCCATCACACTTTGCGCCTTAGTATGGCTAACTCTTATTCATGATTTTACGATAATTTCGAAATCTATCCCAGCTCTTAAATTTTAACATAATAAAATTAGAATGATTCTTTCAGATTTATTTGTTATTTTCTAGATGTATAACTTTGTTTCACTCTATCCATATTTTTATGCTTCATAGACCTGGCCAAGATGGCAACCAGGAACTCGAGCAAACGCTTAATCAGTTGCTAGTCGACATGGATGGCATGGATACTACTGAAGGTGTTGTCGTATTTGCTGCAACTAATCGGGCTGACTTACTTGACAAAGCGCTTTTTCGTCCTGGCCGCCTCGATCGTCATATCACCATTGATCCGCCTAATCTGACGGAAAGGAAGGAAATATTTAATCTTTATCTTGGTACCTCTTCCTTTATTTAACCTTTCTTCTTCGATTCCTTAACTCTAGAACATGTTTTATAAGTTAAATTAAAAGCATAAAATGTTGAAAATAGGTCCACAATGCTGTTCCTACCTATCTATTTGGAAACAGAGTCAATATTTAATACTGGCTTACATTTCTAGTGTATATAATCAACAATATGAGAAAACTATTGAACTTTTAATGGATATAAAATATTCCCATAAATATGTGCTCAGCTTCTTGCTAGCCCAACCTTTTATATAAGGACAAGAAAACGATCTATGTGGTGCCTTGTATAGAAGAAGGAAAGTACAGGCGAGAATTTCGATGTGATGGAAAACACAGACGATGGAAGAGTGTGATGTTTGTGCAAGAGGACAGTGTTTGGTCACAGAGGGTAACGACGTGGCAATGAGTCTTAGTCTAGGGCGTTTACTGTCTACTTTTAATGCCACGTTCTGATTGGTTCGACGGATAGGCTCGATGCAATGACTTGGTTCGCTTGTTAGGGAGACATGATTTTCTAGGGAAGTGTAAGAAGAAATGTGTAAGTTGGTCTCACTAGAAGATGACGGCT